TGGTTGCCAGTGACCTTCCAAGGTCAATACAAGGTGCTGGTTATTTGTGGGATCACTTGTCTCAAATTACTTCTGTCCATCTGATAGGATCTGACAGGATGTGCATGCTCTAGGTCTCACCTATAGAATAGTGCCATCTGAATGAATAAATGAATTTCAGATACTCTGGCAACAGCTTTAAGAGTAGCCCGGTGATAGGATGTTAAGCTTTTAACTTTGTGGAGTCTTATTCAAACATTTTATCTTGGACTTAGACTGTAATGCAGTCTATTGTAAGAGCCTTAGAACACATGAACATATTTCTACCAAAAGGAACATTTTACTAAAATGTTGTGGTAAGCATTTAATGTGCTGAAATTTTAAGGAAAACAGATCCCAAATTGGCTATTGCAACTTACTGATTAGAAAATTACAGCCAATAATTGTAGCTGCATAATCTCCTATGATGCTGAGCTTTAGTCCTTGACTGGGCAGCTCATAAAGTGCCCTATTATTTTCTGTCAGCTCTTTGATTATGTTCTTTTTGAAACTGATTAGAGAAGGAAAATCATTCCTATTTGTAGTATTCTGTCTCCTTTCCTTTCTGCAAAAGTTGAGCCTATTCCATTTTTTTAGCCTCACAACAAGCTTGTGAGATAAGCCTGTCTGAGGAATAGGCATACCCGGTAGATTTTAAATGGACTGATCTACTATTTTTGAACTCAGTCTTTTGCTGATTTCTCCAACCACAACAAATATTGTCTCCTTCTGTTCTCTTTGTGTTTGTTTGAAAAGTACCCTCCTGATGGTGAGATGGACAGACTGGCAGACAGGCACAGTTCTGAGCCCCCTTACATTATTTCTTTCCATCATTCTGTTGGATCGGAAAGAATAAGAAGCACCCAAGGGATATAAAAGTAAAGTAAAAAGTTCCTGGTTCTCCAAACAGCATTGGTTTCTTTCCCTTCACTCTTAGCTTGGGGAGGTGAAGAACATGAACAGGCACACAGAACATTTTTAAATATAGAACACAAGTCGGACTTGAAACAAAATGTTTCATGGTATTAAAGCTTCATTGTATTGGGTAGCTTTTCACATAGCACTATAGCTGGTGATCACTGCAAGAATTGTAAAAAGTTTGTACATGAAATACAATAATAATGATAGAAACAAAATACAAACAAAACAGGCCAGTAGTACTGCTGAAGGATGATCTTCTGCTCTTCAGCCATATGCAGCTGCTTATCCCTGCTGCTGTTTCTGCTGTAAGTCAGTGATATATTAAGCATCTTTGAACATGGGAATGCTTTTTTACATGCTACACAATAATCTCCACTAGACACAATCCAATCAAAGCTAAGCATTTTTAAGTCCCATTGATTTCAGTGGGAAAGAGTGAATTGCACACTCAATGGCTTCCCATGGAAACTAATGGGACTCAAGCATATTTAAATTAGACTGGATCATGCCCACTTAACATTGTTACATTTACATATCTGCCAGTAGTTAATAAGCCTGGGGGCATGCTAATATTGCTGTAGCTACAATCAAGGGTGGGTGCATATAAAAGGACACAGAAATAGATTCAGTTTGCTGGGTAGGTATAAACTGGAAGTAAATTTATGAAATATGAAGCTCTTTGAATTAGCTTCAGCCTTCTCTCTCTGCTTTGCCTTTCTTCAGATACAAATTAATCTCCTCTGCTAAGCCTCTTGTTTTGCTGCAGTGCCCTGAATGCTGATGTACTGTGAGGATATACGATTGGCTAGATGTATGTGATGCAGCTCAAGAACATAAAGGTGTCTTGCAGTTTTCCACTTAAAACACCTACTTTGTTCAGTGATACACTGAGGTTGCCTTTGGCGCTTTTATTTTAATAGTTACTAGGATCTCAGGAAACAATATGGTAGAATTATGTAAAGCTATCTGAGAGAGTTGAGGAGCTACAGTCTGGGGTGGGTTAGCCATGCCTGGAATATTCTGATCCTGTTTTCTCATAATTAAGACTATCACTTAATCTGTTGGCTTTAATTCATAATAGATAAAGTAAGAATATAGTTCTGAAATCAGCAGCCCCAATAAAAGTGTGTGTGTGTGTGTGTGTAGGTATTTGAGTATGGATTTCAGAAATGTTCTTCGCTTTGATTTTTTTTCCCCAAGACAAGAAAACATAAATGTATCACTTTAAGGCTGAGAATGGCAATACATATATTGTCGAAGAAAATGTTTTGCAGAGCTCTTTGTACATTCCTTATGGTTGCTATTGCTCCCCTCCCGTTTTCCAAACTTTCCTGACATTGTGAAAAACATTGGCTGAAATATACTGCCCAGCTAATCAAACATAACCGAAAGGAGAGGTCAGTGGAAGTCTTTCGTTGTCTTGTGACTGGGTTTTGCTGAAATTATGCTGAACGCACACTTAAAGCTGCACTTGGAGGAAGGGGAGGAGGCAGAATCCTACCTGTGTTTTTATAACTCTGCACTGTCAGAACTCATAATAAGTCAAATATTCTTTCTGAGGTACTCGAGGAGGAGGGAAGGGAGGGGGAAAACCTGTAAATTTAAGAGTAATTTCAGATTGTAAATGAAAAAGAGAGGCACGACTGTTCATTTGCACCAATCATGCCTTCCTTTCATCTGCTCTGATTAGGCCTGGTGCGGTTTCATCAAACTACTCCATCACGGAGCTGTCACTCCAGCCGTCTGTTGATTGAAAACAATCAGGGCTCTGATGGCACAATTATTCTGACCCTTTAACTAGAGGCTGCTGTGATAATGAAAGGTTGATTATGATAGTTTGTGCCTCTTTCAGTTTGCCAAGAAGGTTAATTTGGGCATCAGACGGATGTTTAATGGGCGCTTGCTGGCTACACTGAGGTAAATGAGAACGTGCAGCCTTCGATATTGCATGGATATAGTTTGGCTGCCAATCATTGTCATTTTGAGTTTGTGCCTTGCACTCTGGAAATCACTTTTTTTTCTTTGGGATTTAATTTATTCTGTGCCCTGAGGAAGTTCTTTCACTCCCTGACCTTCACTGGCTTTCTCTGCTCTCTTAATTTTTTTTTTTTTTATTTTTATTTCCTTGCTTCCCTTCTTCGCCTCCATAGATTGTGCTTAAAGGCACAGCAGATCTAGAGGAACCCTCCTTCCCTCCTCCTCCTCTTAATTCCCCCCCCCCTTTTCATGGTGGTTTATCATCTATGTCTGGCACAGTCTTATTTTGTTTTTTGTTTTATGTTGTAGAATAAGAATGTCAAAAATTATTGTGGAAGTTATTTTGCTTTAAATAGTAATATGTTTCACAGAATGTTGCCAGGGCTGTTTGTGAGGTGGTAGACTTGTATCTGTAGAACAAAAACAGAGACAGCATTAAAAAAAGGAATGGAAAGTTTTCACATGATTGCTCCTGCGGCCACATGAGTCACT